GTTATTTTCATCTTATTGTTAACTAACTTCAGTAAATTTCTAAGCAATCTCCCAAGACAACAGCTAAATTGAAGCTTTTTTTCAATAAAACAAAAGCTAAGGAGGAGCTCCAGGCCTTCCAGCCACAAAACAAGGGAGGGACAAGCATGCAGTCTGCCCTTGGAAGAATTTGGGACCTTGACCTTGTCCCTGTTGGAGTGATTCTTATCTACCTTCATTTGAATAGGGGTAAATTCCCAACTCAGCTAGAAGGTTGTCTGAAAAACTTCTCATTCATGGTTTTGAGGCGGGTTTGTGTAAAACTGTGTTTCCATGAATTGAGAGAAAAGGTTGAAAATTGCTTAAAGCCACTGTATTTGAATTTTTTTGAAGTGTACATACATAAAAATGCTAGTAAATATCTAAAAATAAAAATATTTCTAATTTTGAAAGCTGTTAAAAAATTGTAGCATTGAACTTTAGTCTCTGTTTAATTGGTAAATTTATCAAATGTCTATCCAGGTTCAGTAAGCTCTATTCTTGCTCAAACCTTTGAATTTGGTAAAATTCTTAAAAAGTTATGAGAAGAGCTGTGTTTTCTGATATGTATTTACCTTAAAATGTTTGGGTGATCATTTACATGTGATAAAAATTTTCCATATATTACTGTTTGAATCAATCTGACTAAATGAATATTATAATGAGGCATCTTTGATCAGATACTTAAAGGCCTCTTGGCATGTTTAACTCTTCTGGTTTTGAGATTTCTAGATGGGCCCCTAGCAGCATCAAAGTCAGAAGAATGTGTTTCAAAGATTGTATCTTTCGGTTGGTAAAGTTAATTGTAGGACAGACAACTGATCAGATCTGTCAAAAAAAAATTGGGAGGCATTGCTAAAGTAAACTATAGGTATGATTTATTCAGATTATTAAAAACAAATGTAATTCTAAACAACTGGTAACTTTAACACACTTAAAGAAATTTCAAGTAGCTGTTACAAAAGCTGTTTTGTTTTATAGTATGTGTTGCCTGATATACATGTACATGTTTTTGTGGCAAGCTATGTAGTCTATCTGAATTGGCTTATAGATGAAAATATTCATAAATGTGAATTGCTAAGCTAAATCCTTTTAAAAATAATGTATGGATACACAATTAAGCTCTTGGAGAGGCATGTCTGTTTCTATTTTCTCAGGACCTACAAAGTCTGTTCACGGACGGGCTTTGCCACAGCATTGGCTAGTAGGTGTTGGGACTGGAGCAAGTCCTGTCAGGCTAGACTGTAGAACCACCTGGAAAATCAAGATCTGGAGATGGGAGTGGATCCAGGAGGGAAACTGTTGGTAGCCCCCAGATGGGCTGCAGCTCCTACAAGGGAGCATGAGAACCAGGGCTGGAGTCTGCCTGGCTGGACAGGCGGTTGTTGGGGTCCCTGCAGTGGATGTGGGGGACACAAAGGTGTGAAGAGTATTGTTCCATTGCAGTGAGGGCCACAAGGAACTTCCCACTGCATGGCAGGGCCCAGCAGATGTCTCTACAACCACCTGAATGCAGCTCCAGCACCTGAATGCGTGGACACAGGCCACCCTGCAGAACAATTTTAATCCATTCAGGCATTGTTTGCTGTTGTGGAGTTGCCTTTTTTTACTCAATGTGAGCTTGGAGGTTAATATCAATAAAAACATCTTGCAAAAGGGCCTTTTATTATTCATATTGTCTTGGCTGTCCCCATTGACCTTATGCTAATCAAGGGACCTGTATTTAGGTTTTCATTATTTCCTAGATCTTTAGGTTCTTCTTTGTGATACAAGATTGAGTTGTAGAGCAAGAATTGTAGTCGGAACTTCTATTGTCTTTATGTAAAACAAATGGCAGAATTATCTTTAGAAACACCCAGCTAGTAGTGGTCCATTTCTTTCCTCTTTATGCCTCATCCATGTACCCTTCTTGAGTTCGGAACTCAGCTGCAGCTGGACTCCGGCAGGCAGTAGCCCCTGCTAGCATGAGAGTGTGCTGGATTGTGAGGTTGGTCAGGCTGAGCCAGGTTCTAACACCACTGATGTGTACCAGACCCAAATGGATTGCGGGACAGACTGGATGTCTGCTTCACATACCAGCATGAACAGGAACAGGGTCTCAGGGTGGGCCTGGTGAAGGTTACCGAGAATCACTCCAACCAGGCTGCTGTCCCCACTGGTGTGTGTGAGGACCAGGTGTGTGGTGGGTAGGGATGAGTTGGGCCGCAGCATCCACTGATTTGCATATGAGATGGGGCTGGGGACAGAACTGACCAGATGGTTGCAACCACTGGTGTGTAAATAGGCTGACGTGGGTGACAGACTAAGTCAGATCCAGCAGTGGCTGGCACACACAGGAGTCAGGTTTGGGGTCACCTCAGGTGAAGTTTCTTTGGGAACCATCAACTGGACCATTGAACTTAGAACTCCTATCACAGGGACGATTACAGGACCTGCGGTCTGACCATGGAGTGCATGTGTCAGAATTGGATCTCATTGGTTGCTGAAACCTGTGCAGTAGATGGCATCCCAGATGCACATGGGGAACATGACAGCCAGTTCATTGAGGCCTGCAGAGGATGTCTAGTGCTATAGAGGGAGAAGAAATTGGACAGCTCTCCCAGCCAAGCTCTGACAGCAAGTATCTGGGTAAATGGAGACTACAAAGAGGACTGTGTTAGCTAATGGACCTTGGAAGGATTTTTTCAATCCTGCAGCAACAAAATCATCTATATTTACTGAAACTACTTAAACAGTATCCTCAGAACATGCTTCATATTGGGAATCCTAGGATGACATCGGGTGGCCGTCCCCAATTCTCTCCCAACTTTCCCGGGTACAAGAAGAAAAAAGGAGATAGACAACAGTTGTCTCATCTACTTTTCCCCATTCCTCGATATCCACCCATCCTAATCAGTGGTCAACTTGGGCATGCATCCTTCTTAACAATGAAAACATCATCAAAAATAAAATAAATGTATTTAAAAACAAAAAATATTGCCTATGGTACTAGCATCCCATAAGGGCAACAGTTCGAGTCCTGGCTGCTCCACTTCCTATCCAACTCATTGCTAACAGCCTGGAAAAAGCAGCATAAGATACTCCAAGTGTTTGAGCCACTGCCGCCCACATGTGAGATCTGGATGAAGCTCCTGGCTTGGCCTGGTCCAGTGCTGGTGTTTGCTGCCACATGGGCAGTAACATATAGACAGAAAATCTGTCTCTTCCTTTTTCTCTGTAACCTTGACTTTCAAATAAATTAATCTTTCAAAGAATAAAATGAGAGCAGAGTATAGGAAGTATAGGTCGTTATATATTTCCAAAAGCAGAAGCATAAGTAATTTCTGAAATCAAATGTGGGTCATAGCATAAAAAGCAGTAAAACAAAGACTTTCAGAACACTGATCACTAAGCATTACAAGCATTTCTAATTTTGTGCAAGCAAAAAATAATTAAAACAATATGTAATTTCTAAAGTTCTAATAGGATATCAACAAACTATCACACATTTAATGTGAAATACTCAAGAGATCACATTAACACCAGAAAGGTATACACAGATTACAAATTTCACAAGATTATGAGAAACGCGCTGATTCTAGTTTTTCTAACATCTGAGAAATTACTGAATGAGGACAATTGTGTGGAAATCAAGAAAATGATATCCACGCACAGGGGGTTGTTTCAGCAGTTAAGATTAGCATGAGACACCCAACTTTCATACTGGAATACCTGGCTTCAAATCACCACTTCATTACTGATTTGTTTCCTGGATACATCCTAGGAGCCAGTGGTGACAGTCGCAGCAATCAATAACAGAGAGGCTAGAACTGCACAGAGTTCTAGGCTCTGGCTTTAGCCTGGCCTACCCCTGGCTCCTCTGGAACAGTTGAGGAGCCCATCAGTGGCTGGGAGACTTCTGTGTCTCTGCCTTTCAAAAAACTACACATAAAACGCACACACACATACTTAAAACAGAAAACAACATCAACCTTATGTTTCAAAATAGTCAAGGAGTTGAGCCACAGCTTGGGCCACCTATATCACACATCAGAGAGCCAGGTTTAAGCAAAGGATCATTCACTATGACCCAAATCTAAGCTAACGCACAGGGTTTTGAAAGCGTCACAAGACAGCCTCTGACACCCATATGGGAAACCTCTGAAACCCTGGATGGAGTTCCTGGCTCCTGGCATCCATCCTGCTGGTGTTTGTGGGCACTTAGAAATTCAAACAGTTCACATAATGTCTTTCCGCCCTGTCATTGAAAAAAAAGGGGGGGGTGTGGGGAGAAAGGGCACCATGATGGTTCAACAGGCTAATCCCTCCCCTTCAAGCACTGGGATCCTATATAGGTGTCAGTTTGTGTCCTGGCCACTCCATTTCCCATTCAGCTCTTTGTTTGTGGCCTGGGAAAGCAGTGAAACAGTAGGGAAGGCGCAAAGTCTTGGGACCCTGAATCCACATGGGAGATACAGAAGAAGCTCCTGGCTCCTGGCTTTTGGATGGCTCAGCTATAGTTGTTGCTGTCATCCGGGAAGTAATCCAGCAGATGGAAGATCTTTCTACCCTGTATATTTGTCTTTCCAAACAAAATAAATAAATCCTAAAGAAAAAAATAACTAAACAAAAATTATAAAGCATGGTTACAGAGTGAAGCAGGGACAGAGAGATATTCCAGCTGCTGGTTCACTCCCCAGATGGCTCAACAGTTGCACTGGGCCAGGCCAGGAGCTTCTTCAAGGGCTCTGATGAGGGTGTAGTGACCGAAGTAAGTGGGCCATCTTCTGCCACTTTCTCAGGAGCACTAGCACGGGGTTAAACAAGAGGAAGAATAGCCAGACCTGAATCAGCACCCATACAGAATGCAAGCATACCAGGAGGCAGTTTAACCTACTAGACCACAACACAAATCCCATAAATAAATGTTTAAATAACATAATCAAGAAAAAATAAAGTTTTCAAAAATTATAGATCTGAAAAGGTATAAAACATCCTGTTACCATGAATCAAGAGCTCAGAATCCTTGTTTAGTTCATAAAGTCTAAAGGCTTCTTCTAATTCCAATTGCGATGAAACTGTACATGGGTCTCCTAAAAAAAAAAAAAAAAACAAAAGAAAACAAAGATCACGTTAAAACCTTTGGTATGATAGAAGTAAACAAATTCTACAACATAATTTGGGAAACATTTGACAAGCAAAAAATTCAGGGAAGTCTCTTTTTAAAAAATATATGCAATAAAATTTCTATTTGTATGAAATACTATATGAGGCCCACAGATCAAATTTTATAAACGTACAAACAATCTTTTTCTTAATATTGTGTATATTCAACATCTAGCAAATAGAATCTATCTTGCTCACACTGTGAATATCATGATGGCATACTGGGTTACTGAAGTATCCAACACCAAGTTCTGCCTCCATCTGCAGTGCCAGCATCCCGGATAGGCACCTGTCTAAATCCTGGCATCTCTACTTCTGATCCAGCTCCCTGCTAATGGCTTGCTGAGGTCATTAACAGCTGAGAATAGCCTAAGCCTCTGCTCCCCTGTACCCACACATAGGAGACCAGAAAAAGCACATGGTTTCCAGCTTTGGATGGGCTCAGCTCTAGCTCTTGCAGTCATTTTTGGGGACAGTGAACAAGTAGATAGAAGATTTTTCTTGGTGGGTCTCAGGACGGGGGATCTCATGCCTGGATCCCAGACAAGAACCACCATGTGCACGTGGTGAGCTGTCCCCAGGCCTGCCTGGGCTCTGGGAGCTGCTCCCTTCCGGGTGAGTACACCGAAGGGGGAGGTCTCCGTGACTGGGCAGGTCCGGGGCCCATCCGCTGCCCTCATTGGGTGGTGAATAGGATTGGGGAGGGGCGTGACCTTGGGCTTGGGAGTTTAAACTTCCAGCAGCCTCCTGGCTGCTGGTGGGTCTCAGGACGGGCATCTCATGCCTGGATCCCAGATGCCAGCCACCACATCGACATGGTGAACTGTCTCCGGGCAGCCAGCACGCCATTTGGTGCCAGGCTCTGCCTGCTGGCCACCCGGGCAGGAGCTCTGGGGTTTTGGTTCTTTGAGTCGCTGCTTAGGTAGCTCCAGGTTGAACCTACTGTGCTGCTAGGACATGAAGCATTCGTAAAGATTCCCAATGACAGTAACTCTTCCTTTGTAAAACTTGTACTCACTGAACAATGCTGACAGTCCATGAAAAAGCAGTCCATGAAAAAGCTATGGCTCAGGGCTTATCCAGCAGGATCATATCCTGTTACCTGACATGATGATGGATCAAGAGAAGGGTCACATTAAGCAGGGCACTGCATTAACTAGCACTCAAGAACCATAACCGGGGGTAAATTCTGTGAGGGATGTGTGGGCCACACTCTGTGGAAATTCTAGCCCCACTGGCTAACTCAAGAGTTGGGGTGGTGATGAACTAAGTTAGGTGTGACCAAGGAGCCTGCCATCAATCACAGGTAAAGGAAACCCCAACAGTCTGGACTGGTCAGGGCAGCAGCACCCGAATGTGCATCCTGAATAGGGTGTGGGGTGGGCCGGGCTGCAATGTTCACCAGCTCATACAAGGCCAAATGGAAGGCCAGACTTCGCCGGACCTGGCCTAAACCCAGTGGCATGTATGAGAACTGGGTCTGGGAGTGGATTAAGTGGAGGAACTTGGGAAACTCCCTTGGAAAGTCATAGCTTCCGTCTGGTGAACATGTGGTCCAGACCTGGGAGTCGGACAAGCTGGTCAAAGTAGCTCCAACAGCTGGCAAATGTGTGAATTGGTAATGGAACAGGACGGACCGGGCAGGACTGAGCAAACCTTAGCCCACAAGCAAAACTAGAGACCAGGAGGGAGCACAGGTCATGCAGAGCTAGGCTCTTGCATCTACTGGTCTGCATGAGCCAGGAACGCTAAGCCACAGTGACCAAGGCAGAGGTCAGGACAGGTGAGGGGCTGTGCCAAGCTGAGTCAGAAAAACCACTGGTATGCATGTCATCTATGGCTGTGAACAGGCCCGGTTAGGGAGCTAAGGGGACAAACCTAGCTGGGTTGAGGTTCCCACCAAGGGGCGCGTGGCCTGAAATGGGGGCTGTGTTCTGATCGGGAAACAATTGTAGTCTCCCTTGGCACAAGTGTGGACTGGGATTAGATGCACCGAGCCAGGCCAGACACCAACTCCCTCTGGTGTCCTCGAGGACCGGGATAGATGTGCGATGGACTAGGTAAGGTCTCAAACCCCTACTGAGCCATGTGGGAGCCATATGTGGGTATGGACAAACCATGGCTGGGCTGAAACATCCAACAGCGAGGACCAGTTTGGGTTGACGACCAGTCAGGAAAAGCCACTATTCCTGCTAGGACAGGAGGTGAACTGAGTAGTGCTGGCTCATGGACCTACTGGTATGCGCAAAACGTGGCATTGGGAGAGGTTCTGATGGAGGAGCCTGGGCAACTCCTCTGGCAGGACATAGTCCCTGCAGGTAAGTGCAAGAAACATGATAGGAAACAGCCCAGAACAGACCATGGAAAGTTACCCACTGGCATACATTTGGCAGGGGTTAGAGGCAGACCTGGCTGAATATGTCCATGTCATCCACTGGCAAATCCAAGCACCAGAAGAGTGTGGGTCGAGCCAGGTTCGATTGCAACTAAAACTAGTGCACAATACGGAATGCCAAGGTGAGGTTGCCTATACCGGAAGTGACCGCAGCGCCCAACCAGCAAGCCTGAGAACAAGGAAGGGAAGGGGCAGAGCTGGCAGGGAAATAAGGGAGGGTTCCTTTGCTGGATAGCTACTCCCACTGGAGAAAGTGAGCTGGGATGGGGGCAGACCAGACTAGGCAGGGCTACAACACTTGTGCGCCTCATATGGACTGTTGTTTGGGCTTAGCCACAGCATCAGCTGGCAGAAGCTGGCACTGGGGGCTAGTTCTGTCAAGTCAAACCACAGAACTATCTGGAGAGTGCATAATCTGGGAGTGGAAGAGGCCTGAGAGGGAAATAGTGGGCTCATCCTTCTTGGATTACCACTTCCACGGGAGGGCACGAAAACCAGGACAGGGGCTGGGGTGGAATGGGGTGTGGGACAGACTGGATTACTGCTACACATACTGGCAAACCAGAGTAGGGGGCGGGACTGGTGGGGGGGTTATTGTGGGTCGCTCCAACTAGGCTGCAGCTCCCACATGTTTATGTGAGAGCCGAGTATGTGCTGGGCAGAATCAGGCTGGACTGCAACACCCATTGGTTCCAGTGGAAGGCGGGACTACCAACCCAGCGATCTCAACTACCAGCTGATCAGGGCCATGGACTGTGCCGGGCCCTGTACTTGCTAGCACATACAAGAATCTGGTTTGAGAACACCTCAGACAGTTTCTTTGGAGATCTCCCCAATCGAAATGCTGGACTCAGAACCCGTACCAAGAAAAGAGAGAAGACAGAACAAGTCAATCAACCATCTCAGCTATAATGTTGGCAGCGAAATATGGGGCAAACAGAGAATCTATGATGGACTATGTCAATCAGTGGATTCTTCCAAGACCTCATAGTGCTTGGAGTGGCAAGATTGGCAACGATTCATAACTGTTGAAATATCAAAACCACTTGAGCAAGAACCTCGGAGCACACCCTACATGCAGGACCTGGGGAGGGTGGGAAATTGGGTGGGCCTTCTCCCTTAATACCCCCTTTAAACATGAAGGAAACAATATGGAAATAATAATCTTACCCACTTTCCTATAGCCCTTGAACCTTTTTACCCTAATTAACTATGTAAAGATTGTCAAAATATAATATAAAAAAAAAGATTTTTCTCTTAACTCTTCTTTGGCTCTATAACTTTTCCTTTCTGATAAAACAATTTTTAATTAGCATCTCAATAAGTATGTATTTTATTCTTCCAGTATCAAAAATAAATCCAGTTGACTAAATTTCAAAAAACTAAAAGTTCAAAGAATTCTAGTTATAGAAGAAATCTGAAACACAATTAACAGTTATTTCTCCAACTTTCTTGATGGAAAACTGGAGTTTTCTGGCAAATACACTTATGCTAATACCAGATTCTTTTAAAATATATACTTATAAGTCAATGACAAGATGGTTAGGAAATATGTTTTCAAAAATGAAAGCATTATATCCATTTGTCTCCAGTATTTCTCATTAAATGTGATAAGCTGGGCCCGGCAGCGTGCCCTAGCAGCTAAAGTCCTCGCCTTGAACGCGCCAGGATTCCATATGGGCGCCAGTTCTAATCCCAGCGGCAGCTCCACTTCCCTTCCAGCTCCCTGCTTGTGGCCTGGGAAAGCAGTTGAGGACGACCCAAAGCTTTGGGACTCTGCATCTGTGTGGGAGACCTGAAGAAAGTTCCTCTCTCCTGACTTCAGGTAGGCACAGCACCGGCCGTTGCGCTCACTTGGGGAGTGAATCATCAGATGAAAGATCTTCCTCTCTGTCTCTCCTCCTCTCTGTATATCTGACTTTGCAATAAAAATTTAAAAATAAATCTTAAAAAAAAAAAAAAAAGTGATGTCCTGACAATTCACTATCCTCGGTGGTTTGTGAGGCATGAGTTTTACAAACTACTGTGGCAATGGTAATGGTGCAGGTGAAAGGTTGCTGGACTGTCCAGGCTGCACCGTGAGAAGCACCAACGACGTGGTGGAACCTGTGGCTACTTTCATGGCCATGACTTTTATGGCCTGCAGTTGTCAGCTCATGCATTTTCCTGTGCTTGTAGATTGGCACAGTGACCACTGGGTGCCAGGATTTCTTCTGACAGCTTTATGGAATGGTTTCCCAAGGTGAACCTCAAAGACGGTATACGTGGGTTCTTCACCAACCCAATAAGATCTCAGGATTCTCAGAGCTCCACAGTGGTGCCACCTGGTCCCTTGGCAAGACTGAAGGTGTTGCGTAAACATTAGCTGGTTCGTATCATGATGGATAGACTTGCTATAGGTCACATCCTTAGGAACTGGGTGCTTACAGCCAACATGGTCGGTGCACATGAATCCTATGCAGGGTGCAACATTGCTTGGTCTTGTATCCCTGTCTACGTGTTTTGTCAAGCCAGGTGGGCAGGTCGCCCTGT